TGTCCCACCTTCATCCCATTCCCAGACCCCCACAACAACCCCCAAACCCTGAGAGAGGAAAGGCAGCCCAGGGACAAGCAAGGGAGAGCAAAAGCATGGGGGGAAAAATGACAAAAGCATGGGGGACGTGGGGCCAAGTGCTGGGGATAGACACGTTGGTGTCACCCAACCACAGCTCCACCAGAACCCATCCCACAGCCCCACAGCTCACCTGCATTGTGCTTTGTCCCTCGATGGGTCACAGCCACCTCTCCTGTCCCCTGTCCCCCAGAGCCAGCAGCTCCCAGTCCCAGGGTCCTGGTCCCCCTCCTGTCCCTGCCAGCTGTGGCAGACGGACCCACGGTGCTGCCAGGACTGAGGGGAGCACGGACAGGGGGATGCATTAAAACCACGCACACACTTTATTCCCAGCCACCTTTATTGGATCAGCGGGATAAGTGGGTTAAGGGAATTGGTTTATCCCATTAAGTTGCACTGCAAAGGCCGCCTGTGTCCAGCCTCGCCCGGGGCCATGGGGCACTCTGAGGGATGGACAGGGGGGACAGAGAGAGAGGGACCGGCTCCCCCCACATCACAACAGCGTCCCTAAAATTCTCATCACCCTGGCACCTTTGGGGGGCTCAATGGGGGACACGTAGCCGTGTCCTGCCCTCCCACAGCTGGCAAACAATCCCWAACAGCGCTGAGGATGGAGGGACAAGGAGTGGACAGCTGGACAATGGCTGTGCCGAGCAGGACGGGACCTTCTGAGCCACCCCCGAGCGCTGGGAGAGATGGAAAGGATGGGATCCCTTCTGCCTGTCCCCCCTGAACCCCTAAACACAGCCCCAGTTCCTCCTCTCCCAGCACAAACCCTTCCTTCCTTTCTCTGGGGGAGTTTTCTCAGGTTGAACCCTCTCCCCGTGCTCCGGGGGATGCTCTGTGCCCGTCGCACACCGTGTCCCCAAAATCCCGGGGGGATTGTCSCTGCCCTCCCCGGGGGCTCACGCAGGGGACGGGGTTCAGTTCACAGCTGGGGACGGTCTGAGGGATGTATTTTGGGGGGGTTTGGAGGCCCAAATCATGTCCCACACATCTCCCCCGCGTCCCCCCGCCCTACCTGTGGCTGCCGGGTGCTGCCAGGCCCGGCGGTGACAATGTCTGAGCGGGGACAGGGCCACCCTTGGCGTTGGCACGGCAACGGAGCGATGGCAAAGCGAGGGGGAGCGGCACCCCCGGCGGGGAGGGGGCTGCCCCAGGGACACGGGGATGGCTCTGTGTCCTCTGGGGACAAGGAGGGGAGTCACTAACAGGGTGTGTGACACCCCCCAGCCGCTCCCGGCACCCACTGAACCCCTGAACCGCGGTTTTGTCACCGTTTGATTTGCGTTTGGGGCTCCGGCTCATCCCAGCGCCCACCGGCAGCACTGGGGGAACTGGGAACCAGCAGCTCTGGGGGACTGGGGTATGGCAGAAAGGTGACAATCACCCCAGTGTGTCCCTCCAGCACCCATGGGGAAAACCCTGCGGGAGAAAAGCCCGGAGAAAGGACATGAGGGGAAAAAAAATGTGAACTGTGGGGAGAGGAGGAGCGGCCCCATCTCAGCTGTTCCAGGCCAGGAGCGGGCGGGGAAAGCAGAACAGCCCCTTTCTGCCCTGTCCGTGTGTCCGTGTCTGTCCCCGGGTCTGTCCCCGTGTGTGACACCGCTAGATGTCACCAGGAGCCCGCGGCGCGGGGAGGGAGGGAGGGACGGAGGGAGGGAGGGAGGGAGAGTGGGAGGGAGGGATCGGGAGCATCCCGAGCATCCTCGGCCCTGGATCAACCCTGCGAGCCGGAGAGAGCGGGCACGGAGCGGGGGGGAAAGGCAGCGACCCTAAAGATCCCCCATAGGGAACCGGGGCAACCCCAGAGGGAACCGGGGCAACCCCAGAGGGAGCCGGGACAACCCCAGAGGGAGCCGGGACAACCCCAGAGGGAGCCGGGGCACCCTCACCCGTATGGGGTTGGCAGCACCCTCTGCCCTGGAGCCCCCATGGGAGCTGGAGCAGACTGAGACCTGCAGGGGTTGGAGGGATCTGGGGTGGGATCTGGGATGGGATCCGGTGTGAGATCTGTGTGGGATCCGATGTGGGATCTGGAGTGGGATCTGGTGTGGGATCGGGTGCAGGATCTGATGCAGGATCTGTGGTCGGATCTGGTGTAGGATCTGCGTGGGATCTGGTGTGAGATTCAGTGTGGGATCTGGAGTGGGATCTGGTGTGGGATCTGATGCAGGATCTGTGTGGGATCTGGTGTAGGATCTGTGTGGGATCTGGCGCTCCCCTGGTGCAGAAGATCAGGGGTGACGCCTCAGTTGAGGCTCCCCTGGGCGCTCAGGGCTGCTCTCACCCACACAGGAACTCTGAGAAA